GTTAGAGGCAGCGAGAATTGTTATGAGGCAGATCAGAAATGTTCTCACAGACAGAGAGGGTTTTGTTTTGGCGTGTTTCAGGAAACAGGTGCAAAACATCTCTACTTACGTCTGAGAGGATTCTAAAACATGACAGTTTTAACATAACAACTTGTTTTTCGTTTGACTGTAACCTTGTAAACGCACACACTTGCTCATTCAAAAGCAGAAATCAGAAAATGCATAATTATTCTGTAACAGCTTTGACATGAGAATAAAAATCATTACTCAGTTAATAAAATTGATTAGTTCACTGCAACATCTAAAATGGTTTGAACTAAGACACTTTGATTATCAACATTTGTAAGATAGTAATGATAATAAAAAGAGAGTGTTCTTTTCACTTGAATCTTCAAGAAAGAAAGTCTCAGGATGGGTGAACCTGTATTTATGTATTCAAATACATGAAATGACAGTTCCTGTCCCACAAGGTTCTAAAGGTCAAGAGTTTTGACCTTAGACTTAGTTTCGACGTAGGCCTAGTCCACTACACAGAACAGTCTTCCATTTTGCCACACTCCATTTTAAATGACCCCTGGCCCAGTGCAAACGTCTGAGCTTGCTTAGAAATGGCTTCCTCTTTGCACTGTAGAGTTTCAGCTGGCAACGGCGGATGGCACGGTGGATTGTGTTCACTGACAATGCTTTCTGGAAGTATTCCTGAGCCCATTCTGTTATTTCCTTGACAGTGGCATTCCTGTTTCAGGTACAGTGATGTTTAACAGCCCGGATATCACGAGCATCCAGTAGAGTTTTACGGCCTTGACCCTTACGCACAGCTATTGTTCCAGATTCTCTGACTCTTTTGATGATGTTATGCACAGTTGATGATGATAAAAGTCTTTGCTATTTTACGCTGGGTAACACCACTCTGGTATTGCTGCACTATCTTTCTGCGCAACAAGGGTGGAATTGGTGATCCTCTTACCATCTTGGCTTCTGAGAGACACTGACACTCTGAGAAGCTTTTTATACCCAATCATGTTGTCAATTGACCTAATTAGGTGTTAATTGGTCTTCCAGCTGTTCGTTATATGCTCAGTTTCCTTTTTGCCAGCCACTTATTGCTACTTGTCCCAACTTTCTTGGGATTTGTTGACACTGTGAAATTTTGAATCAACATATTTTTCCTTTAAAATGTTACATTTACTCAGATTAAACTTTTGATCTGTCATCTGTTATATTACGAATAAATATTGACATTTGCCATCTCCACATCATTGCATTCAGTTTTTATTCACAATTTGTTTAGTGTCCCAACTTTTTTGGACTCCGGTTTGAAGACTGAGAGACCATTTAAAGGCCTTTGCAGGCGTTTTGAGTTAATGATCTGATTAGTGTGGCATTAGGTGTCTTCAATATTGAACCTTATCACAATATTCAAATTTTCTGAGACACCGAATTTGTGGTTTTCATTAGTTGTCAGTTATAATCATTAACATTAAAATAAATAAACATTTGAAATATATTGTTCTGTGTGTAATGAATGAATATAACATACAACAATTTTTAGTCAGGTCATCTGGACAGTTTCATTTTTTGGTGAAACGTTTCACCTTTCATCCGGAAGGCTTCATCAGTCAAGGAGACACACAACACAAAACTGATTCTTCCCCCAAACAGCTTATTCCAAAGTGGAACAAACCAGTTATGTTGGTGCTAAGATGGTGTCTTTGGCATGCCCCCACCTTTTTTTAATTTATTTTTTACTTCTGATTTAATCCCGATCCCCAAATCTGGATATCGGCCGATACCTTTCCGATATCATCAACAATATTGATTTTATGAGGCTGTAATAATCTCCTCTCTAAATGCAAGTACAATTTACAATATAGGTGGCATGTATGTCCAAAAAGGCAAATAAGTTTTATTAATGCTGGATAAGTTTCAAAGTTAGAAATAACACAGACATATTCCTATTTTTAGGATTTTACATCACTTTGTAATGCAGCTGTTTTTGTTTCGTTTTTTTTAATACTTTTTTTAATACTTAATATCATAATAATACCATACCATACCATTATACCATAATACTTAATACTTTAATTCTTGTAATTTTCAAGTAAAATGTTTTTTATGATTGTCTACTGTTGTACTGATAAATATCGCCTGCAGGGTAAACAATATCTTGGCTGCAAATATTCAATCAAGCTGTGAAATCCTTAGTTTTCTACAACAGATACCGGTTGGTCATTAATTACGATGAAGTTTAGCTTCTTCTCGGTAAACATTCGAGCTCTGTGGCTTCAGCAGTGTTTTCTCATTCAATCCAAAGCAGGCAGTCTAATTTCAGTCTGCCATGCTCAGGCTGCCCCTCCTCCGAGACGGGCAGACTGAGCGGGGCAGATTGGGCGTGGCTGGCCACGGTCTGGCTGCCTGCTTCAGGTTGAGCGAGAGGAGCAGACCGCTGAAGCCATGGAGCTCGAAGGTCCAACGTAAAACTAACTTTACTGCGGTTTAATGTGGTGCTATGGCTCTGCAGACATTGCACGTTGCTGTCATGTTTTGTGGTGTTTCCAGTGTAAAATACTTCCACACAGCGGAAATGTATCGATGAAAAGTTGATTAGCTGCTAGCTACAGTGCTATTGGATGTTTTAGCTGCCTATAAACAGAGATGCATCAGGGATCGTAAATCTCTGCGGGTTGGATTGGAAAAATCCGATACGTAAATTATGCTGGTATCGAAGGCCAATATCGGATTGGCCCCATCTCTAATATATATATATATGTATATATGTCCATTTTCTCCATTCTCAGTCAGTGAGGTCAATAAACTGTTAATAGATCTTGATCCTAAAAAATCTGCAGGTCCAGATGAACTTCCACCTTATTTCTTAAGGCTGGCTGCTCATATCATCACAGTCCCTGTGACCCACATCTTCAATCTCTCCATAAGACAAAACTCCATCCCAGACACTTGGAAAACGGCCTTTGTTCTTCCTTTGCTGAAGGGAGGTGACCCCACCTCACTGAACAACTATCGACCAATCTCTAAACTCTGCATTTTAGCCAAGATTCTAGAAAAACTGATAAACTCTCAAATCAAAAATTACCTGGACTCATTTAACATCTTACCTCCACATCAATCTGGTTTCAGGAAACAACACAGCACAACCACTGCTTCACTGAAGGTTCTTAATGATGTTGTTGAAGCACTGGATGCTAAGGATTATTGTGCTGCACTTTTCTTAGACCTGTCTAAAG